AAGAGGGCTCAATCCAGTAGCTGAAACTTGTAATATTATATGTTTACCTTTCACCGTTATTATTTCTTAGTATATATCTTTTTTTCTTTTTTTATCTTTTCTGTATTTTTAATTTATGTCTTTAATTATATATCTTTTTAAAGGAATGCGTTGACTCTTACTTCGCCCTTCATTTATTGTTATTTATTTTATATACGAAGAGTCCTTATATTTTTGTTATTAACTTGACTATATTTTTTAATATTATATATAAAGGACCGGTTTCACCAACTCGATTAAGCCGAATCGGTGATGAACTGTCAATCATAAGTGTCAATTCTATTAAACAACAAACGCGATTAGTCAGTTCCACGGTCAATTAAGTAATTAGCGTTGGTGACAATTAGGAGACAATTTTTCTTTACGGGCAAATAACTTTGAAAGACATTAATAGAATTCATAGAAAATACAGAAAATAGTATTAAAAAATTACCAAAAAACACATAATTAAATATAAAAAGTAAACTATTCCAATTTTCAACAATTATTCCTCTTCCTCGACAAAAAATAATTTTACTAACAAAAGAATATATAGTTTACTTATATCCACGAAACTGTTTTTTGAAGGTAGCCCGAACATTATTTTCATCAAGGCGAACAAGGGGAATTCAACGGTTGCTCTTGATAAAGAGATGTATATAGAAAAGATGAATAATATGTTAAAAGACGAAGAAACTTATTAATTAATTAAAAAAGATCCAACTAACCAAATTATCATAATGATCTTCTTAAAGGATGGAAGAGCTCGGAATATATTACAACTTCCATGTATAGTCACCTGAACTGCAGTAATGCAAATTCACCAAGAGCTTATGGACTTCTCAAAATTTACAAACAAGGTTATCCGTTTAGAATCATTGTATCATCGTTACATAGTCCTTTATAGAATTTAGCTTGTTTTTACACAATATAATCTCAAAAAGAATTCCTAAATCTTTAAGTCATATTGACAATGGTTTCCAGATAGTTGAAAAATTATTCAGCTTATCTTGACAATAATTTTGTTTTAATTTCTCTTGACGTTATCTCTTTATTAACTAATATTCCAATAGATTTAGCTATTGAAAGTATTTTTTCTGACATTGGAATTTTATTTCACAACATATGAACATACCAAAAAATGAATTGTTAAAAACCGTTCTTCAGTCTTAAACTCCGCTTATTTTACTTTCAATAACAGCATCTATAAACAAACATTTAGAACGATCCATCTCCTCTATCTTCGGTAATTGTGAATCTAATACTATGTGACTTGGAAGCGCGGGCTCTTAAGAGTTTTGATATTCTATTACCTTTTTATCTCCGGTACATTGCAACAGCAATCCCGCGAGAAAAAACTCAAGAAATTTTAAATATTTTTAACTCGTTTCATTTCAGACTACAATTCACTATTCAGGTTGGGAGAAATGAATTGAATTTTTTTACTTAAAGAACAACATAAAAAACAACATAATCGAGTTTGACTGGTATCAAAAAGCAACTTTTTTAGGAAGATACCTAAATTTTCACTCTCAATACCTTCTCTTTCAAAAAAATACAAAAATAGGCATGATGGACAGATCTTTTGTATTATCGCATCCACGTCATAAAAAGAACTTAAAATTTATAGTCGATACTCTTACAAACAATGACTCATTACGGTTCATTTTTAACACTATTAATAATAGACTAAAATAAATATCTTATAAAAAATCAGACTAACAACTTAAAAAATAAAAATAAAAATAATGATAACGTTTATAAATACAACTAGTTTGTTGTAACATACATCACAGGATATTCGAAAGGTTTAATAAAAGAAAGAACGATCTTAAAATAAAACTTTCATTTTTTAGTTTAAACAATCTTGAATACTTTATAAAAGGACACAAAGATGTTCTCCCAACGAATAAAAGAATAAACGTGCTTTATAAAATAGAATGTAATGATTGTAATGCTATATACATAGGAAAAACATGCAGAAACTCAAGATCCGAATTTCTGAACATCGCAATCATATTAATAGAAACATGACGACCAAATCGGTAATCACAAATCACAGAATTAATAACAACCACGAATTCAATTGGGAAAATGTAAAATTATTAGCACAAAAAAATTTTTAGACAAAAGACTAATATCTAAAATGCTGTACATAAAAAGACAGGAATAGCATTAACTTACAGTCAGTTGAGTTCTTACATCACACATACGTGTCAATAATAAACAAAATATTAATAAGGTTCTATCCGCCATGATTTCGTATTGAGTATCACTTTGGCTCTAACATTCGTTTAGTATCGCACGTATCTTCGTTATTTGTGATAAAATGTCTTAATATTGTACTCAAGCTTGTTAATTCAGCATTGACATACTATATGTCAATGTTCGACAGATCATGATTTCTACTACAAATTTCGACTCCTTTTATAAGTCTTTCTATTAAGTATCTTTTAAAATATATGAAATGAGTATAGTCTCGTTGCAGGATCCAAAATCACTTGCAACTATTGTGAGAGACATACATATGACTTTCCAAGTGGAGCTTGAGACAATAATCGCAAGTAATGTATCCACTGATGATAGCTTGGAATAATGCGGAAACGTTTGTTATTTATTGATTAATAGATCACTGATAATTTTGTTGCACTCCAATTACTGTGCTTGACTTTCATTGCCAGTGTACTTTTTCTTATTTATTGTCAAGTATTAAATACCTTTTAAGTACGTAAGTATCGAGTTACACATTTCCACGATGAGATTCTTCTTTTATAAATTGTCACGTATCAGCATATTGACACATTTTAATTATTCACTTGACAAAACAAGAAATTTATTAATTGATTTATTAGTTAATCACTAACAATCACAAACGATTGATTCGACGTTTAAAAATCACACGAAGAAACACATATGTAAATCCGTACACAACAACACAATACGTGTTTACGTGTAGCAAGCAGCTAACTAACTTTCTTGGTTATGCGTGCAGTGAGCGACGCTCAGACGCCGAATAATCAATCGTTTGTGATTGTTAGTAATTAACTAATAAATCGATTAATAAATTCTTCGTTTTGTCAAGTGAGTGTAATCGAAATGGATCAATGTTGAAACGCGACACAATTTATAAAAAAAGAATTTCATCGTGGAAATGTGTGATATTAATATATACTTAAAAGACATTTAATGATTGAGTGATGAAAGTGAATTACAGTAAACAGTTGTGTCGAGCACTATTACGGTGCATCCAAATTTAATCCTTCGTATGTTTTAAGAATCTAGAGTGAAAGGGAATCATTGAACATCTACAAGACAATAACAATTTTTATAATTAAAGTAATAATAAGGTTTTAAAGTGTTTAAACTCATTAATAATGACCGAATATTCTGGTCAAAACGTTTTTTTTTATTTGATGTTATTTGAAATATTATGTTTTAGCAACTGTAATCTAACTATTATACCCTAGTGTCATATTTATATTTAGTTATAAGTGAGCGTTATATATTTAATTCTTTTAAAGTGTATTTGGCTTACGTTTTTTTCTAAACATTCATAACTCTTTGAGTGCTAAGAAGCGTGATCGCGTTTCTCATAAGACTTCCCATAAGTAACAAATGCTACGAACACAATAGCGCAGATTATAAATTGATAATAAAATTGTTAAAAAAATGTTCGTAAAAGTGAGAAATTAGATAATAATTGTATGCGATAAGTATTCTAACGCCTATTGACATACAATTAAGTCTGACAAATATTTCCACAGTACGTCAAAGTGTAAGACACGCTCCTAGAATTCGACATACAATACTAAAATAATTATATGATCGAGCAACGCGGACGCAACACGTGTTATTGAAATTTACACGTATAAACACGATGTGCAAAATTTACACCATGCAGAAACACGATGTGCAAAATCCACCTGCAATCTGGTCGTAGTGCATATCTAGTAATGCAGATAATGTCGATAGCATATGTCAAAATGCAAAGGTAACTTTAAACTGCTGTAACTCTGCGAAAAAAATCGTAGCAACTCGTTTTTTTTTTAAATTAAAGGGGAAAGTTCAAATTTTAGGTGGCTGCAAATAGTACTCCCCTGAAAAATTTTACAATGTATCTATATATTTATCAAACTTTGCAATTTTCAATATGACAAACACATCCTCATATTTTGAGAGTTACAGTGACAGGGATGCATCAAAGTTAAAATCTAGCCATAGTGTCTTAAAATAGAGATCTTAAGCTTTAATTTAAAAAAAACCATTATCCTACGATAATTTTTTGCAAAGTTATCGTTAGTCAAAGTTAACCATTTTTCGCCTACAATTTTTCTATGCCACAATTGTATTGAGCAGTACTCGTATAGTATATTATTAATGAATCGGAGTTGTTGAATCAGCTTTTTACCCTATGATAAAATTATCGACTGCACGTTATAATCCAATTAAGTATGAAGTCGATAATTTTCTTATTCTGATTCACCCTCTATATAGGATGTAATACAAGTATACACATACATGCGTGCGTGCGTGCGTGCGTGCGTGCGTGCGTGTGTCTGTGTGTGCATAAATAGATACAAAGAAAATAATAAGTATGTTAAAATATTTATATTTTTTGTATATTTCCGTATTTGTTCTAAGCGTATTAACAAGATAATTAAGTTTGTATTGATATTGTTATGAAAAGTTAAATCTTTCCTATCGTATAGTTTAAATAAAATTTATACATATCAAATAAAATACATTATTTATTATGAAAGACATATTTAAATTTTAACAAATTTGTATTGATATATAAATAAGAAACTGTATAAAATATTTTTAGCAAAATATTAATGCAGAGAAGAGCTCAACATATATAACTTTCTATATACTAAAATTTTAAGAATAAGCCGTACAAATTTATAATAGGATTGAATAAATGTAAGTAGCGCAATATTTTTTAATAACTTGCAAACCAATTAATTTTTCAAAGATCTTACCTTTGCATAATCTTTTTCCAAAATACAAAATGTGCTACTTGCTGAACTTCCTTCCGAGGACGGTTGACTGCTTTCACTTTCAGCCTAAAAAGTAGCATCATTTCATTGTTATTTCGATATGACACTTATCCAAATCACAAACAATTCGATAAAGTTGACATTCAATAAAACAAAATTACATTAGTATACAATCTTTCGTGCTCTTAAACATTTTTTAATATAAATTTGAAAAATCTTTAATCATATGAAAACATATCATAAAGAATTAAATAATAAGTAATTATTAAATTATCAAATAATCAGGTGCTTTCAAGAAAATTGACGCTATTTTATCATTCTATCCTTATTTTACATCTAATAAATGATAAAAGTAGAATGATATAAATGACATTAATAGTGTCTTCTGCGCATTTAATATATAAATGATAAATGATTACTTACACCGTCGAGTTCAGCATTCATCTCCATATCCATCATGATGTATCGGTAAGATTAAAATATATTATACATATATATATGCAGATAAATCTTACTTTATGCAGGATATATATATATTGTCACAAAACACTGATTTATTAATTCTTCAAAATTTAATTTATGCTTTATGAACTGCAAACTTCTGCAAAAAATTCTAAACTAGTTAACCACTTTAATTCCAAATAACATTTTTTACAAATGTGTTGACAATATGAATGTAGCAATGTTTCCGTGCTTTTGGATATTGCTATTGGATTTCAAGCAAGTTGTTGACTAGTCACTATGACAACAAGATACTTTTGTAACATACATACATTGGGTATGTTCAAAAGACATAGGCCGGTATTCATAGTTAAGGTATCGATTATGTAAATTTTCACGAAACTTTCATTTTTTCACTTTACATACCAATCTCACGTGAAAAATTTCACTTTCAAATGATATCAAATTTAGTGATTATGTAAGAAAATTATGAGAAAGTGAAATCAGATGTAAGGAAGTTACGAGAAAGTAAGATCATAAGGCGAATTTACATCGTTCCTCTTAAATTTAAGAAAATTTAACAAGTGTTCACGGATGTATGTATGTACGTACATACGTATTTTGATAGGAAATCACATTGTGCTCATTATTTGTTGTTCCTTATACATATAATCAAGAATAACAATGAATGTAACTCAAAAACAAAAGGAAATGCTGTTAGACATAATGTTAAAAAATTTGGATATTGCGGGGAAGAGTGTCGCGAAATTCTCAGAGCCGTATGGAACTGATAAAAACATGTTATTTCATTACTCTTGTTCTTGATTGTAGTAAAAAAAAACAATATATATTTAAAACTCGTAGAAAAATGTATGGGAGAACAACTCCTAGCACAAATCCTAAATTATTCCGAATTATCGAAAAAATCTTCATCTGAATGGAAAAAGATAATTTTTTAACCTATATCATAAATCTCTATTTTTTATTACAATTCTTATTTTTTAATTTTTATGTGATTTTTATGCACTTCATATTTTTATCTTTTAGTCATATCTTTAATTTAATATTTTTAATTTTTCGCCTGTCAAACTGCATGCTTTTTCTCTTCGTTCGCATGAGCATGTACGGCGAGAAACCGCAATATCCATTTCAAATATATATTTCAAATAGATATTCAAATATGTTTGATATTTGTCGAAAGCGAGAGAGTTCTAGTACAGTCTAACGCAGGAACAGAAAATAGACCAATAGATCGAAAAATAAGCTAGTTTATATCAATTTACTAAAAAATAACTAGAATTTCACATTTTAGGCATTTCGTTACTTGCCGAAAAATTTCCCGTGAATTATTTCACATTTTATAACAGCCAAAAGTTACTTAATCGCTTATTCATTACATTCACATAAATTTGTTCACTTTTTGTGTATTCATTCCTAGGCGAAACTTTACATAATCGATATCCAGATCTTATATTCTCCTATTCAAGATCTTATATTCAAGACCACCTTAAGTATAGTATTAAGAAGTCACGAACCAATCAGGGGTCGTATTAGTGTCTTGAGACATTACTTAAGATAGTCTTGAAATAAGAACGGACTGTGAATATCGCTCTATGGGCTCATAAAGAATGGACTGTGCGATCCTTGCGTTAAAATGATCAATAAAAATAAGAGAGAGGGATTATGGAAAACGGCCAATTTCTATCTCTTTCCATTCAATAATGTAAATGGAAAAGAAAATGAAAGGGAGAGATTGACCGTTTTCCACGATTCCTCTATCTCATTATTGTCCACTACATTTGGATACCACTACGGATTGCGCAGTCCATTCTCTATGTCTTTGGTGCCATGCGTTTCATTTTACGCATGATGTTCAGATCTTATTTTTATTATTCACTAAATATTAATGAAAGATAAAATGATATGTCATGCGCATTATGCGTGAAACGGAACACACGTGTATTTACGTGTAACTCATACACGCACGAATAAACTTTTTGGATACACTTTTCGTAATAATAACCATAAGATGAGTATCAGACTACAAGGTGACGATTACGATTGACGGTTGGCTGATTCTATTTTAGCCAATTACGATGGACTTGTTACATCGTGATTGGTTGAAGTAGAATCGGATAACCGTTAATCGTAATCGTCAATCCGTAGTCTGATACGGGTATAATATGTATCATAAGTTTTACCTAATGAAAGTCGAAATTTGTGATACTCTTGACTGTGATTGGCTAATTAATTATTCTACGGCAACTTACGGTTACAGTTACAGAAAATGTGTGTGCAATGACTCTCATGTTATGAAACAATCGATAGGATAACATCTCCCGAAATATCCTTCTATTTACGCGTAATACACATGTATCATTTTGAAAAAGTTCTCGCGCTACTTTCTAGTTAATAGACAATTTATGCTTCAAATTGTATAAAACGATTAAAATAATAATGTTCAATAATAAATTAAAAGGTACCGGTAACAACTGTTATAAGCGAGACGCACCATAATATATAAAGTATTAAAAAGGTTTGACAGTCTTCTAACCGAACTTTATTCAATGATGATATAGGCAAGCTTAAAATATGAATCTGTGTGTGTGTGTGTGTGTGTGTGTGTTATCGTATCTCAATAAATTAAATACCATAGAATCATAAAAGACCACAAGGACAGACTTTCTCCAAGAATCTTAACAAAAATATCGTTTATCAAATACAATGTCGAGACTGTGATACAATCTATGTTGGTCAAACAAAACGTCTATTAAAAACGAGAATAAAAGAACACATACATGACATCACAAAAACGGTCTGTGATACTGTAATTACACAACATAAGTTAGAACATAGTCATGAATTGAATGGGAGAACGTAAGAATCTTAGATAAAGAAAGACAATTGAATAGGAGGCTCATTTCGGAGATATTAGATTACAAATAATTTGATATGCAATCAGAATTTTTGCACCGTTGTTATGTGAGTATATTAGAAAGATTTAAATAGTGATATTATGTATTTATCTTTAAGCTATCTGTTTATTATATTGATTTTATTATATTATATTTGACGTAGTTATGTTTATTTTTACGGACGATTTATTTTTAAGGCGCTTGGTTTGTATATATTGATGGTCATTGCGTATCTGACTTCCATCTGGATAACAAATTGTGACGATTATATATTTTAGATTGTTTCATTTTATACTCTTTTTGATAACGAAAATGTGCGTCTTGTATAATCGTACCTTTTATAGTTGACTTATGCTTTGAATAACTGTATTGATCTATGGAGAAGGAGGGTGAGTGAAATAAGTAGTCATTGAACACATTATATTGTCTGATAATAATTATTCCTATTGTACTCTTTAGTTAATCACTTGGTTAAACAACGAAGAGACAGAATTTGGGCTTCTCTCAACCAGATAATAGGGAGTACTCATCCTCGGTTTCACATAGAGCCTAATTTCAACTTTATTCAACGTTTTTCTGTCTACATTTATTATGATGTTATACAAATTGGCTGAAGATGGTTTGAAGGAAACCAAAACGTCCTAAGAAGTCTGTATTGGAAGTCATTGTTTTTAATATATTATGTGAATTTTTTAAGATTGTTATATAAATTGTGCACCAATTCCCGCGCTGTGTAACGCTTTCATTGTCCGTACATTATTTGATAGTTTTTGAATCTCGAGAACCCGATTAGTATATTTTTTGATAACTTATTATATTTATATTATTGTCTTTAGGTCTATATCAACGAAATTCGGAATTGGAAAAGCAACTGCATTCAGAGCATTAAGAAGAGTAATGTATGTTCTACATTGTATTGCTCCTCAGTTTATTCAGTGGCCCCAAGTGCACTTGCTATAAAAGTAATGAGGGAAATTGAAGTTTGTGGTTTTCCAAATGTGATAGGTTGATGGCGCTCACATTCGCCATCAAAGATTCGTGCTCCAAAAGAAGATCCAGACTCATATATAAATAGAAAAGGTTTTCATTTAATGATAAATCTTTCGCATAGGGGCAGAATGAACAAAACTAAGAAGAAAAGTACTCTATTTTGCAATTTTCGTAATAGTTAACAAGATATTAATTACTAACTTGATGAAAATTGGTCTTCAATAATTTTTACTCAAATACTATCAACTTTACAGAAAAACTGTAAAAGACAAAAATTGTTTTTTTTTTTTCATAGAACTTTACAAATTTTTTCAGAATTTTTTATCAACTTTTTAGTACTGCATTATTTCATTTTTACAATATAAGAAAATACAGTATTAAAAAATATTCTGAAAAAATTTTTTAAAAATTCTTAGAATTCTATGAAAAGAAAATTAACAATTGTTGTTTCTTGCAGTTTTTTTTTGTAAAATTGATATTATTCGAGTAAAAAATTATTAAAGATCAATTTTCAGTAATTTTTAGCAATTAATATCTTGTTAATTATTGCGAAAATTATAAAATGATAGAAGACTTTTTTTCTCAGTTTAGTCCATTCTGCTCCTATGCGAAAGATTTATCATTATTTTCCAAATACCCTGTATACATAAAGTTTTATATATATATATATATATATATATATATATATAATATATACATGTGTATGTATATACATTTGTATACATGCATATATTCTGCAATACACTCTACTATGTTGTTAATTTTATAACTAAACTACTGTTTTTTAAACAAAACTTTTTAAGATTTTTATGGAAGGCCACATCATCATTCATGTTTCTTTTCGATTCGCCATTATGCAATGTTGCTACATTTTTATTAATAGTGTCCCAATTAATAAATACTTCGCAATTTTGAGTCCAGAATCAATTTAGTAACATTTTAATGAATGTAATTGTCAAATTTTAAATATTCATTATTATCCAAGTAAACGAAGTTATCGTGTAAAATATAACTAGAATCCTTCTTCTCTACTAAATAGTATTTGTCCGGCTGTCGAAAGCTGACAAACCGGCCATCACTTTAGAGCACATATTATACAATAGGAACCGCACGGCTTATACCTGCACAATTGATCGAGCTGCGAG